ATCGTCGTAGAGTTTGAAGATCACATTCCTTCCGGGACGGGGGGGGGGGGTTCTTGTAGCCGGATAAATCTGTCAAACTCTACGACGATCACACGTTCGGGTTACCCAATACAATATTTTGTGATCCTAAAATGTAAACTCGACCATCCGATGGGTAACAAAAATACTGCTTTGCCCCAAATGGACTGTGATTTTTGCATAGCGTCGCTGCCTTGTGGATCAAACTTGGGCTGCCGAAGGCTCCTCAGAAAATTCACCAGTGTTTTGCCTTAAAACGAACCATAGGATGATGGTGGCGCAATGGTTTAGTCGCTGTCACCAGCGTGCTTTGGACCCTGTGGTCCGAGCCCCGCCACAGCCAGCCAACTTTGGTGGTAGACAGCTTTGCCGTGGCCCGGTTCTATGCCACACCTGAGCTGGTGGCTCCTTATGTGGTTCGCCACCCCAAGCCCCGGGGATTAGGTTGCCGGTCACCATCAATGGACAGCAGGTCTTCGTGACTATGGGATTCGCCCCGACTGCTGTTCATCTCACGAAATTGTGTGATAAAAAAAGACATTTGTTTTTCGAAGGAACCTTGTACCGTGATTTGTGTCACACAATCTGGTATCAGACCAATGTGAATATAACATTGTCCTAATAGCTTGAATTTTTAGTGACTGGGAACAAAGAACTTCACTGTCTACTTTCATATCGCAGAATGTAACTAGTTTTCTATTTGATCAATTTCTGGATTGTAGTTCAGCCTGCTGATGACATGTTTGACTGGTCTGCAACTTACCTACCCCTGACTATTTCACTTTATATGGTTGGTCCAAAAGAATTCATTGTTTGGTTTATCGTTCATTCATCCAGTACGGTCACTTTTTCCAATGTCTTTTGCTACGTAGCGTTCGAGAGAAAAACATCGTAATGTATTTTTCAAACTCATTCATCATGTGATCATAACGTTACAGGTGACAACTACGCTGTCAGTGCTGTGGCCGACGATGATAAACCCACAGGTGAACCGAGTCAGCTTCCCGCGACAGATGCGGACTCACACAACTCGGTAGTTTCTTTGACTACCGGGTCTCCTGAGGCCGAATTCGGTATTGCCCCTAGTTTGTCCGGTGCAACAATCGGACTGACCTCATCGATCACGTCTGCCGGTCGCGTCACACAATCCTCAATCGTATCAAGGCCTAGCGCGATCTTGAGCACGGGAACACCCGCTACCGCTCGAACAATAACTACCGGTCTGGTAAGCACTAATGCAACTGGAATGGTGAGCCAATCATTAGCGTCATCTAATACCTCGTACACTGGAGCCGGCGGAGCAGCAGCTACACCTGGCACTGGAGTGATTCACCGCACAGACAGTTCGTGGCACGATGTAGGTATCATCAAATCGACAAGCTGTACAGTGACCATGTATTCCGCCTACACAAATGACGTAGGTGTTAATATGGAGGTAAGCGAAAGAATTTTTGTTTATTTCTAGTTTGTGTAGAAACGAAATGATTTTCTCATATTCTGTGAAAATCCCTGTATCCTAGCTGAAATTCATGCATGTGGGGTTGTGTTTACTGTCACCTGTTTCAAACACTCAGATAAACAGTGCATTAATGGTAAAAAAAATGAGAATTTCATCCCACTAAAACTGAGGTTAGTCTTGGTTTTCGGCAATAAGAGTGTTGTAACCTTCATAGCTTAACACACTGTTTTACCCCATCGTGCTGTCACATTGATTCATTGTCCCGCTCGGGGTGCACCTCACGACGGAAACAGGTCACCTCGTTGAATCTTCACCGGCTGTCGTTCATCACGTCACAATGGTTTGACATTCATTTTTCAGTGCCGGTTCTGAACATGAAAAATCACGTTCCTCTTTTTTCTCCGCGGACATCAAAACATCCTTTGTTGTAGCGTTTGGTTCATCACAGAGCGGGAGAGACGGTTCTATGTTTTCTAACATCTCATTCACCAGAAAACTGTAAATCTTGGTTTGTCCAATACTGTCTATATTTACTCATTGAACATTTCGGCTTCGCACATACCTATAACCTTATAAATAACGCCACTCTTTCGAATTCATTACGAACTTGAATGATGCAGATACTGAACGGTTGGTT